TGGTATTAAAAATGGGTGAATTCCATCCATCCAATGGCACTACAGCCAATCCGGGCCTTGGCCTCCTTCATTAAACCTCTCCAAACATCTCTATTTACTGCTGTTCTTTTCCATGAACGCGTTTTTAGGAGATTTTTGGCATCCTCATCTACCTCGTCTTCCCATCTCTTTTTTGGTCTTCCAACAGGTCTTTTTCCTTGCATTCTTGAGTTTAGTAATTTTCTGGGGATTCTGTTCTCATGCATGCGGGCCACATGCCCTGCCCATCGTAATCTCTGCAGTCTAGTGTAATGTGCTAGTGTTGGTTCAGTGTATTGTTCGTATATTTCGTTATTATATCTAATTCGCCAGTTGTTATTTTCCTTTATTGGACCCAGTATTCTACGCAATATTTTTCTTTCGAACACGTCTAATGCATTGGTAGATTTCTGTGTTATAACCCATGTTTCACACCCATAACTTACTATGGGTCGGATTATTGTTTTATATACCCGGAGTTTTGTTTTCCGGTGTACGTCTCGCGATTTGAATATGTGGCCCATCGCGAAATAGGCTTTGTTTGCCAGCATAAGCCTTCTATTTATTTCCGGTTCTTCTTCATTATTTTCGACCAGATCCATTCCTAAATACGTGAATCTATTCACGTATTCTATATCGTCTATAAATTGTTGTTGTTGCGCCTGTCTATTTGATCTGGTTTGTATGAGTAGTTTTGTTTTATTTGTATTTATTGTTAGCCCTACAACTTCTGAACTCTGTTTCAACTGAACGTAGGTTTCTTCTGCCGCAGTCTTTGTTCTGCTCATTATGTTTATGTCATCTGCGTATGCTGCTAATTGGGTAGATTTGTTTGTAAGTATGTTATTTCTGCTCACCGTCAACCGTCTAATTACATATTCAAGAACAAGATTAAAAAGTGTTGGAGCCAGTCCGTCACCTTGTTTCAGTTCTTGCGTTGTCATAAACGCATCAGTGATCTGTCCTTGAATACATACATGTGCTTCTGTTTCTGTCATTGTCATTTGCACTAGTCTTATTAATTTTGATGGTATGTCCAAATTCTTGTAATATATTAGGTAGTATTGTTCTTTCTATTGAATCATAGGCTTGCTTGAAATCTACAAAGAGATTGTAGACGTCTATGTCATATTCCCATGCTTTGGCTAGTATTTGTTTAACTGTAAATAGTTGGTCAATAGTAGATCTATTTTGTCTGCACCCTGCTTGATATTCCCCGATAACTTTTTCAGTGAGGGTTGAAGTCTTTGATTAAGAATGTTTGTGAGTATTTTGTATCCCGAACAAAGTAAAGAGATGCCTCTATAATTCTGGCATAACAGTTTGTCTCCTTTTTTATGAATAGGGCAGATTATACTTTTCTTCCATTGTTGTGGGATTTTTTCTTCTCTCCATATTTCTTGTATAAGCTGGTACATCTGTTCTGTCAAATTTGTTCCTCCCTGCTTGAACAGTTCTGCCGGTATCTTATCTATTCCCGGCGCTTTATGGCTTTTTTGCATTTGGATTGCTGTTCGAACCTCCTCTAGTGTTGGAGGTCTAACCAATTCATTATCTTCTCCATCTTCCCACAGCTCCTGTTGTTGACCTTCCTGTTCTACCTGCTGCTGCCGCTATTGTAGTGGTGTTTGTGCCCTTTCGTTTAATAATTCCTTAAAATACATCATCCAGGTTCTCTTAATTTCGTCCATATCGCTAATTATTTCTCCATTCTTATTTTTGCATAGGCTAGTCTTCGGTTTGTAACCCTGTCTTAAATGTTTGATAAGTTGGTATGCACTGCGTGTTTCGTTTTCCTTGAACGCCCTCTCTATGTTTAGTATCCGGTTGTTTTCGTACCGTCTCTTTTTCTGTCTGCATAGTTTATCAGCTCTTCGTCTTTTATTCTCAAATTCTGTCCTTCTCTCTCTAGTTCGTCTGAGTATGAAATTCTTATGTGCTTCATTTCTTTCGTGAATAGCTTGTTTGCATTCTTCATCGAACCACTGTTCTTCTCTCCGTTGAGTGTTTGTTCCAAGAACTTCTTGTGCCGTGTTTAGTATGATAGTGCTTATGGTGTTCCAATGATTTTCTATTGTGAATTCTTCTATGTTTTCTAGGTTTAAGAAGTTTTGGGCTTTTTTTTGTTTTGATTATTTAGTCGATTTGGTATTAAAAATGGGTGAATTGGTTTTCGTTAATTTTAGGAGATATGTTATGCTTTTTAGCAGTTTGGAGTTGACTACATTATTCGTGGTTATTGATGCTGGTGATCTGGTGTAATATTTGCGATGTTGTTTTGGAAGAAGACGAAATGATTGGATTGTTTTCAGATGTATTTGATGAGGTCGGTTTCCATATATTGATATATTTTATCGTGCGGTTTAGATAATGATGATGTGGTTTGGGTTGAATCTAAGAAGGTAGTTGAATGGATTTGGTTTAAAATGTGAGTGCAATCTGATTCTTGGTACCAATGATTTTACATTTGGAGCAACTAAATCCGTCTATGGAAAGATATAGCCGGTAGGAAGGATTATCATGATCACGATATCAATGGTGTAATGAACGGTTGCCTTCTAAAGTTCACAATATAGCTGTATTCACTGTCAGGCATACATACTTGGACTTCAAAAATGCTGATCATTGTGATTTTAATGGTTATTTTTGAGCTTGTCAATTAGGATTTAATTATTGTAGATAATATTAAAACTGTCATAAATTTTATCAGATATTATATAATGGTATTGAAAATTTGTTCCTATTTAAATAGCTTGTTTCACCTATTGTCCCCCGATGGTATCCAACTTGTCTCAAGGAAAAGTTTATAAACTTCAAAAATTCTCATTCCCAAAACGACTACATTTTTTTTCTAATTTACGGCTTTACTGTAAAAACTTGGCTAGAGAGTGTTTTAAAGATTATGATGCTCTTTTTTTGGACCAAAATATTTCGTTATAATGCCAACAAATCTTGGAATTTCGTTAACCATTTAGAATAGACTATGGTATTACCAATAATTTGTTTTTACACAGTAAGTGCTGTGATAATGGATCTGGAATAGCTAACCTTTTTCCATCTCATTTTTGTTCTGTTTGCCTCTCTGATTCTGATCATTTAGCTGCTGATAAAATTCCTGTCTATAATAAAACTCTTTTAGAGGTTGTTACTAGTTGTGTAAACGGTAGCTAAACTGTTCTAAGATCACTTCTATATTACTGATATTGATTAATATTACTGATATTGAATAATATTACTGATATAGACTAATATTACTGATATTGACTAATATTACAGATTTTGACTAGCTCAGAACTTTTGTGCTGGTAGAGTAGGGTGTGGAACTAGAGTGAAACACGATATAAAATTAGACAGGGTTTTTATATTCTTTTCTATTTAAATTGAAAGACAGTCTTAGGATATCCACGTAGTACTATGTGGCGAACACTTTGATATAAATTTCAGGTAAGTTACGTGTAAGTACATAGTTTTCTCTAGATACTTAACTGGGTATGTAAATTGATATAATCTTACTATATTATTAATTAACTTGGCGTATATTAATATTCATTATGTCCTTGTTGAACTGACTAAAGACTTATTTATGTTTTTATTGAAGACTGCACCAACAAGGGTCCTGACGTATTTAAATAACTGGAAAATTCTTACTTGGTAAGCGAAGACATGGAGGAAAGCACAAGTTATCCAACTCCTAGTTAAGGTGAACTGCTGCTACTACAGGTATACCTGCTATTCCAAGCGTGGGTATATTGGAGTTCTGTAAGCTCTGATATGGTGTGCCGTTGAACTGATATGTAGCTGAACAGATGCTAGATATATGATACTAGATAGGTGATGGTCGAATATACGGGCAGCGGCCTTATTAAAGATTTGTAGGTATAAATCCACAAAATTGTGATATACGTCTCCTGCACTAAATTTTCCTACTAATCTTGATGGATTATAGTTCTTTTTCTTTCTTTTAAATCCGTATAAAATACGATTTTGCCAAAACCATGTGGCTAAGGATCCCTCCAGAAAAGAAAGAGACAGAAGAAGGAAAGAGAGAGACAAATTGATTTCCTATACTAATTAGGCACTCTTTGGTGACAATCTGACACAAACCAACAAAAATAGCTAGGTTAAGTTCAAGGACATTGGTTGTTAATGACATATAGATATACTAAAATTATAGATTACTAAAATTAATAAAAAAAGAAGAAGAGTTAAATTCATAGTCAAAAGACTTGATGAATGTAAGCAATTAAGCAATGATTTCAGGTTATTTTAGTTAACGTTATTATTAAATGGTTTTATCTATCTTATTTCAGGTCTGTAAAACTAAATTTATTGTTTCTCTTAATTTGTCCTTAAAATATAATGAACCCGTAACAAGGTATACCTCTAAAGAGGTATTCTCAGACATTCACAGTTTAAAGCATAACTTTACCAGATACCATGTCTCCAGTTTTTATCTATCGAGAGTTAACTTTGGCATTAAAACAAACCAGAAACACAGTTCCTGGCTTGGATGGTTTTATATATATGAAATTTTACACAATCTCCCAGATTCAGTGAAACAAATTCTAGACAATTGATAATGTTCATTATCAGAATATCATTTGCTTCTTCAAGATAACCATTATACTGTTTGTCCTCATTATTATCTAGGAGGTTGTTTGCACTCGAGAAATTTAAATGATAAAAATCACCAGCTCCAAATAATTTATATCTAAGGTGATATTAAATGGGGACAGCACACGGTTTTCTTTATCATTAATTGCCATTCAGTACTTCATTTAAATCATATTATATGCTGTGGTGGTATCCACAACGCACTTGAACATGAAAAAATTTAGCCAAATATTTTTATATTATCTCTCATGTTTTAAGTAAGTTGTTATTTGGAAATACGTACATGTAATATACAGGAATTGTAATAAAATAATTGATAATAAATTATATTCTTATATTTAGTAAAAATCAACATAAAATTATATAATCTATAAAGAGTCTTTTGTTAAACCAACCAATAAATTATTTTTATTTGTACAACTTGTGGGATAAAGTTTTCCTAAATGCACCTTATATCCAAAACTTTCAATGTACATCCGCCGATCCGTATCTACAGCATTCATACAAAAATAGCCCTGTTCTGTTTTAACGTTTTCTTTGTCATGAGTTTGGTCAGCAGCATGAGCAAGATTCAAGTAATTTTGTAATCCTAAATCTAATTTTTTGAATTGGTTACTTCTAGGATAAGTCAAATGATGGCAGTTTCTAACTCCACCATAACAACAAGGACAAACAACTAAATGTGCCTTCTTATTTATACAGTTCTGGATTACTAAATCAGTGGCTACTCCACAGGCGTGAAGAGCAACACCAATGTCGAAATTACCTTGAAAATAATCCAAATTTGATTGCACAATAAATACATTCGTTAAGCCCAATTTTTCAATCCTTTCCTTGGCTCGTAATAAAGATCTTTCTTTATTTTCGACAAGGACAATTTCACAATTCGGGAGTAAAGTCGCTAGAAGTATTCCCAAGTGTCCGCTACCACTGCAAAAGTCTACTATGCTATACTTTTTTTGAGCAGCTATCTTCATAACTGCTTTAGCTAAGTTTTCTAACTGTTCACACTTTCTGTCAGCTCTACTTTTTGGCAGTGCCCCTCCATTTGGATTTGCTTCTAATGGAACGTCCAACCAATTAAAATCAATTTCTTTTCCAAAAGGAGTTTCTTCATTAACTATATCATATTTAATTGGTTGCAAAAGATCAAAGGCAACATCAATATCGGTTTGTTTTGTAAATATCCTCTTTTCTGGTTTATGCCGTGAAGGATCTGCTGTATACAGACTTTGTCTGACAAAGTCTGGTTCAAATATATTTTTGGCCTGAATGTTATTATTTGTTATAATAAATTTATGATTAGATAAAGCTGACTCTTCCATTCTTTTAAACCAACTTAAAGTTAAAGGTATTCTTCTTTTAATTAGATCTAATGGACAATTTTTAAAAAACACTTCATAGCATTGATATAAAATAACATCAGCTAGAGTCATAAAAGGTCCCTCGCTAAATATGTGCTGTATATTAAGTTCTTCTGTTGGTATTCCTGATTTGATGCCTTTATCTTTGTTTTTAACTCTTGCAACTTTATAAATGTTATGTATCCTGACTGGAGTAGATAAGTGGTATTCAAATCTTACTATATCAGAAGGCAAATGGAATTCATCGCCAATGCAACAGTTGTTCACTAAAATAGATTTTATTGTCTGTACAATATCAACTTCACAAAACCGAGTCCATATTGATGTCTCTGAACACGAAAATAAGCAAGCTTCTCTAAATCCAAGCAAATTCCTTATGTCAGGGTTAGGGCTGCGTTTTATTAAACTTCTGGTTACGGAACATACACCAGCAGTTACTTGATTTGCTGATACAATTGCTGGCCACACCACAAACTTTGCAATGTCAGGTATGGTAGAGTGGATATTATAATTTAGACCTTCAGAAGATACTTTAATGAGAGCTTCTACTGGTCTATCTAATAAGGATTGAATAATAAGTTTAACTTCATCAGCTCTTGCTATTTTGTATACAAACAATACGATTAGTGACTCAGTATCTATCCAGAAAGAATTAGATGAATCCAAATAAGCACTTATGTACAGAGTAGCATGCGTCATCTGTAAATAAAATAGAACAATATTATTACATTAGATCTACCTTATTAAACAATAAATAGAAAAAAAACAATAATTCTATTTTTTTGAGAATAAAATAGACTCATCCTCTTATAAACTACCTATCAATAACTATTCTCTCATTCAATCAACTACTAACTACTAACTTCAGAAATAGAAACTATTGATCCGTAAAATAGTTTTCGAAATCAATTCAGATTTCTGCCTTAATCTGAACCTTCTAAAAATTGCAAGGTAAACAGACGTTGATAAAGATGTTAAAAGAGACATGTGGAATCTAAAATTTGCATTCCACGACATGCCTGAATCAACTAAGCAGAAATCCTTAGCGAATTGGTTTCTTGTACTCATACAGAGTAGATCCGAATAAAATGAAAAAGACAGTTAAGATTAGATTTCACGTACAAAGCGTCTATGTATCTGTTTATACGCATTTCGGGCTAATAGGCCTCATCAGAACAGCTATTCATAGGCGTTCTCAACGTGAAAAATAAATCTTTTCTGTCCTTAAGATTTTTAGAAGGTTCAGATTAAGGCAGAAATCTGAATTGATTTCGAAAACTATTTTACGGATTTATTATCAGATGTCGCTATTGCGTCCATATCGAAGCAATTTTAATGTTGCTAACATTAACATAAGCTTGTTACAGGCCCAAAGGTTCTAAATTCTGCAGAGAACACCACAAATGTGTTTTTGGAACTATTTTCTGGGAATCTAATTCACCTAATTGTATTTCAAACCAATCTATATTATGTTCAAAAACACTGAGGAGGAAACGGATTTACACATACCACAGCAGATGAAGTCAAAATATTTCTTGAATTAAATTTATTAATGGGTATAAAGGAAATGCCCAGTTACAGAGATTATTGGTCGTCACGTGATGAATTACGAGACCCTTTCATCAGTTCGGCTATGTCACGTAACAGATTCGCTTGATTACTAGACAATTTACATCTGGTTACAGTGCAGCCAAAAAAAACTGATCCCGGATTTGACAAACTTTACAAAGTGCGACCGACCTCTATTGGCCAAACTCACGGAAACGTTTCTTGCAGCACTGAATCCACATGAGTTTCAAGCGATTGATGAGTCTATGATACGATTCAAAGGTCGAAGCAGTATCCAAGAGTATATGCCCAATAAACCTATAGAGCGTGGCTACAAAGTATGGGTTAGAGCAGATTCAAGTGCGAGTTCCAGATATATACCGGTAGTGATCGTTCACTTAGGACAACAAGTCGTACAGGATCTAACAAGGATCTTAGTAAATAAATACCACCGAGTGTTCTTTGACAACTATTTAAACTTTATTGATCTTCAGAGATCGTTATTGTCGGACGGAATTTGCGCAAGTGGAACCGTTCAAAAAAAGGAAGGATTCAGATTACCGTATTTCAATAGATGGACTATCTGCGTTAAAGTGGATGGATCGCAGAAGTGTAATTCTTTTAGCAAATCACCAAAATCCAGCAACAAACGAAGTTGTAAAGAGAAGACAAAAAGACGCTACCCTGAATGAGGTTTCATGTCCACAAATGGTAGTGCTCTACAAATTTGACATGCTGAAAAGTCTTTATGAGGTGGCATAGAATATTTTTATTTGTGGATGCTTGCGTCGTAAACGCATTCATTCTATTTTACATTAGCAGCCAATCTAAAAGTAACTCTTTGAAATAATTCCAGCTGTGATAAGAGGACTCATTAGAACTACTGAACAATTAAAAAGAGGATGACCATCAGCAGAAAAATCAGTGAGTAAATTCAAAAGGTGTATTTCCTTGGAACTGCGCCATTCAAAGTTTTCTCATATGCACCAAAGAATTACTTCTATGAGATGTGCCAACTGCAGCACGACATCAAACGTTAGCAGAAAACAGTGGAAATTGTCATCTTGCAATGTCGGACTTTGTCTTAAACATGACAAAAATTGTTTTGCAACGTTCCATGCAAAACAATAGGAAGAAATAAGTGCTACCTGGTTTTTATTTCTTATTTAATTTTTTGTTAGCTATGTTCCTGCTGGTATTTTGAGAATACCACATCCTGCAGATTATACTTCAGGATCAGCATTGTTTATTTTGACTGAAATTTTTTTTAAAATATTCTTCTTCTTCTTTTGGCATCATAACCCTGGATGGGTCTTTGCCTGTCTGGCTATGTCCTTCCATTCAGATCTCTCTTGTGCCCTTCTTCTCCATTGTCTTATGTTCATTGTTTTCAGGTCGTCTTCCACGTCATCCAACCATCTCGTTCTGGGCCTTCCTTTTTTTCGCCTTCCTATGGGCTTCCATTGTAACATTTTCTTTGTTGTTTTTGCATCGTTTTGTCTCTGCACATGTCCCAGCCATGACAGTCTTTGACTTTTCACAAATCTTACAATGTCATAACCTTCATTTAACTCATTAACCTCGTCGTTTCTCCTTATTATCCATGTGCCATCTTCCTCTTGTACCGGGCCATATACTTTCCTCAGTATTTTTCTCTCGAATGTCCTGAGTTGGGCTTCATCTTTTTTCGTCATTGCCCAAGTTTCACATCCATAGGTTACTACGGGTCTAATCAGTGTTCTGTAGATAGTCATTTTGGTTCTTTAGAAGAAGAATATTAAAATAAATAAATTTCACCAAAATCCTGTTGTGTTTT